AACGTCCAAGTTGTTAAGGGATCGTTGCTGGTAGAAAGAAGGGGCAAGGGGAGCGGGTTATGTTTAAAAGACAAAGGAAAACAAAGGTTTGGATGTCTTAGCTCACTTAACGCTACCCAGCCCACTTGATACAATGGGCAGCTCCGTACTGATTGTTCTGCACGACGACCAAGTCAGTATGGAATTATTTTTAAATGATAAAGTTGTCCTGTAAAAGAGGCGAGAGCTGAAAAGCTGGGAAGCACTGGGTAGCTGTTTTGACCTGGTTGAGTTTCATCAGTAGTTTGACACAAACCTGCTGCCCACTTGGCCATCGTGCAGCTGATCAGACCGTTTCTCATTTTGAATATTCACTTTGGGTATGCATTAGAGTTTGATGGAAGGGGTATTGCCATGGTGTCCATCCACTAAGCAGGAGAAAGATTACAGTTATCGTCCAAAGCCCTTAGTTCTAACAAGCACTTGACCGCAAGGCGGCGGGTAAAGCAAAGTGGAAGCCCATTTACTTGGACCGATTACTCATCCACCATTTCACCGACTGAGGCGCTAACTCCAGTCCAATCCCTAACCTGAACTTTGTCTCTTCCCACTGACCTTTCAGGCACGATAAGATCTCCTGGCCTGATAAAGGCGATCCTGTACAACTCGTTGGGTCATAGAGGTGCACAAGCCTTCACACCACGTCAAGGTACAGTCTTGTCGTGATATTTATTACATTCCCATTGCAACAAGTTCTGTATACCGTTCCTTGCTCTCCCGCATCAACCTCAACAGAGAGTCTAATATGTCGTATTTCGATTCTATCCTTACTCATCAAGAGCGGGTTTCTGCTGAATTTCTCAACATTGTTTAAATCTAAATATTTATTAGTTATTTTGTTCCTTCTTTTCGGTGAGACAGTATGCCTATTTCTTCTAAAATGGGGATATTTTTTGCCCACGCAATTTTCTATACAGTTTGTTCATTTAAGTTCATATTGTAATGAACCTGCACACTGTACCCCATCTCCCTTATGTGTCTTCCTCAACGAAATACCAACAGAATCCACTGGATCCAAACTCAGGCATAGTTGCTTATGATAGTTGAGCTATTCAGGTCAGTTTCAGCAGGTGAACCCTTCCCCCAGTCAACACCGAAAAATACAATACACAAACTCCCATGTATTTCGTTGACTTTTTTATTACACACCCAAGTGGTGTGAACAGCAGACGGGGTAAACCCCATCGTTACGAGGACCTGCTGTTCAGTGGTGGAAACAGGCAACCTAAGCCCTGGGGCTTGGAGTGGCGAACCACATAATGCCCCGGTAGGCCAGGCGTGGTAATGAACCGGACGACAGCAGAGCTATCTACCACCAAAGTCGGGTGGCAGTGGCGAGGCTCGAACCCCGAAACTTAGGCTTCAATGCACGCCGGTGACAGCTACTAAACCACTGCGTCACCAGCACCCTGTGATATGTATTGCTGATGGTTGCGAATGAGTCAAATGGTTATCATGAATAACTATTGAGGCTACAATGTACACAATATACATTGGTCCGTTTGATCATCGGCTACTTTCTGAGTGTATTAAGCATGTACTTGACTTGACGATGAACGCACACATATCCTATTCGTATAGTAAGCCTTTAACCGTCTCATGTAATCGTTGGAATGCGTATGATTTCACTCTGTTATCTTTGAGCACGCATTCAACTCATTATGTTATATTATTACGTTTATTGGATTTAGATCGTTGGAAATAAAAGCATCTATTATTTACACACAATCAGGGAAAATTAGTCAACCTATTGAGGCCTTATTTGGTTTACCACTCCAAGTCTCAGGGATGGGTTGCCGGTCCTCTATCACACCACAAATGAACAATAAAACTCACACAAATCACAGAATGAGCACTCTACCTACTGACTCGCAGCACTCTATAGCCGTCCCTATAATTCGTAGTTTAAATCGAAATGTCCGTTCTGTACGCCAGTTTCTCCAACCTTCACCCCCTCTGATTTTATTTTGGCCTGAGACACAAACCTCTTCTTCGTCAGTTGGTATCTGCACTTATATTCATCATTCTGTCGCTTCCTCCTGACTTTCGCAGCTCGATTTCCCCAACCGCGACCTCCAGCTTATGCTCCTGAAACTTCGGTTCCCTTCCTTCAATCACTATTTTTGTACGGTTTACCGCAGCAGCAACCCTTTCATTTTCGATGTTATAGTTTCCAACACTGAGACAATACTAGTGGCATATCCTAAAAGTCAAAGCATCGTTGTCGGAGAATTCATTGTCCTCAGCAAGGAATGACTCAAGCACTCCTCAGACACTTCGTTCATGGGATGCGAGACCGAAGCTTTTGCTGTGCTCGCTAAAGCGGTTTCACGTAATTTCTTCTCCAACAACTATCATCCCATCACTTTCACTTCTCTAACTTTGAAACTGTTTAAAACCGTTATCTCCGACCAGCTGCGTACGTTTCTCGAAAGCGAAGGTTTGGTAAATGACCGTCAATAGTTGTTTTGCTTTTGTTGAGCGACCTACTGGAGCTCACATGGCATTCCTGGTCAACTACACTTGATAACCACGGAGATACTCACATGGTCTCGCTCGACATTTCCAAGGCCTTCGGCCGCGTTTATCATGACAGTCTGCTTCCGAAACTGCCCACATTCGGATTCTATTCGCCTCTCGTATCTTGGCACCAGTGTTTACTCAGCAAGCGAGCCATCTCCATCCGAGTAGATGGGGTCCTATCTCGACCATTCTCTGTGAATGCCGGTTATCTCCAGGGTTCCATACTTTCGCCAAACCCTCTTTCTTGTATTTATCAACGATCTTTTGTCCAAGACATCTAATCCCATCCCCTGCTTGACGATGATGACACTGTCCATTGTTCTCCTTCTTGCCCATCAGGCCACTAACAATGTTTATCCCGAGCGTAATGTCATTGATTCTTCTCTTGTCTCCAATCACGGACTTATCTCCACATATGGTTCTACCAACCGTGTCTTTCAATAATTAAAAACTTCTCTCCATTTCGTTTCTCTCTAAGGTGTCCCTTGTTCTACTTAATTGATTTTTGACTCATTTTCCCTTTGTTACACGAATTCTCTTTTCCTCCTGGGTTTATCCATAAATTCTTCTCTCTGTTGGTCCTTTTTTATTTCCACAC